GGGTATTATCGAAAAAAATATGAAGACTGGGCAACGAAAGATCCAATTACAAACATTTGTATACAAGATCCATCAGACTCCACCAATGATATAGCGCGTTCAACGAAAAATATGCGCATAATTCAGGACGAATTCCAGCACGCATTCGAACGCTTGGCCACTCGGGTCGGCTATTTGGAACGTTGTACACCCCGCGATGAAGATGGTACATTTAAGGACCTGCAAAGTCAGTCAATATTATCTTCTATTGTCTACATTAATGCTGATATCCGAAAGCGTCGGGATCAACTTTACAAGGATTATAAAAACGGTGTCCTTGGCAGTGTATTGTCTCAGTATGGAACAGACCCTTCCCGGTTTCTACGGCATCGTGATGTCGACATTATCATAGACACGTTCAGGTTTGAAATTGCGGAAGCTGATCGTTTAAGAAATTTTAAATTTGCACGGATAAGAAGTAAAAATGATAGGCATTATATTCCGCCATCTCCAAAAAAGCGTGAAAGATCACCAGTGTATATTGAAGAAAGTTCGGATATGGAAATGTCCGATGAATTTATTTCGGATTATTATATTCCAAATGACAAGAAGTTTAGAAATGTTACTGATGATTACAATGGGAAAAGGAGATCAAAGAAAAGACATAAGCGAGATAGGGGAGATTAAGGCTAGGTCAGTGTTGAAATTTATTGCTCATTATATTCTAATTTCTTACATACATCAGATTAGGTTTAAAATTCAAAATCAGATGGATTATTTCGATAGAACTTGGCGTAGTTATGGTTCATCTAATAAATAATTTTGTTGGAGAAGTAATTTTTAATTGACGACTATATGTTCTAGTAACTGTTTAAACGAATTCAAAAGTCAAAAAGGCTATTCGTAACAGGTTTTATATAAATGAGTTGTTAGAAAATTTGACCTTTGAAATATTATTAGAATTTGGATTACTAATTTAAATATGTATATAGTTGTTTGTCAAATAGACAAACTATAAATCTATATCCATTTTATAAAAGTTGAACTATTGCAAGTATTATTTATAATTATAATTACAGTCTAACTTTAATGCACTTCAGTCATTCTTAATGTCATCAGCAATAAGTATATAAAGTGGAGGTCTCTTAAGCTAAAAAGTAGAACGATGGAAATTTGGTTTAATTGATCAACATTTGTGATCTACATTTTGAGACCTAAGATGAATATAGATATTACTGTCTGATGCGAGTTCATAAGTATACAAGTGATTTATCGATTATAATAAACCGATTCTGGTACCATTCGATTCGTCTGGTTGAAATATCACCAACAGGGACGATGATTTTCTGTGTTTCACGGAATGCCGCAGAAATTATTGTTAACACAGAATGCGTCAAGGATTCGAGGTAGGACCGTCCCAAATTTGGTAAATATGTCACGTTTGGGTATTATACATCAAATGATTTACTATCATAGCGTAGCACCATATATGATTACGTAGCACTATGTAAGTTTTTTTTGAATATAGTAATTTATTATAAAAATTGCGTATTTTCAAAACGTTCTAACTCCTGCTCCAGTAAAGCAAATTCAATTCTGTAACTTGCAAATGATATATGAATAATGTAGTTTTAAAACTATGTTGAGACATTTTTTTAATTCATTTTATTGATATAGTTAAAAAACCCAAATATTTTTTTTTAATTACGAATTTATGTCTCAATATAGTTTTATAATTATATTGTTCACATATTGTTTGCAAGTTACAGAATTGAATTTGTTTTACTAGAGCGGGAGTTATAACGTTTTAAAGATAGAGAGCTGTTATTTGTACCGCTTGTAAATCAAAAATTTTTTAAAATTTTTTGAACGAAGGTATCTTGAAATTTATCAAACCAAGTTTGATGAACCTTTGTTAATTTGAATCCTACAGTTTGTAGAATTTAAATAAAAACAAGGTCATTAAATTTGGCCTGGTTATCGAGATATCTTCGCTCAAAGCTGAGAAAAATTTTGACGCAGTTTTTATTTTGATATATTTGAGTTTTCT